TTTCAGCTCTCCCTTTCCCCACTGCAGCCAGGTTGACTACCCTGACCTATGCCATCTTTTAAAAGTCACCTAGAAACCACAACCTGATGTGATACTTCAGTTCAACCAAGTATCTTCCTCGTACACTGGAGCTAAGACAAAATTGCAAGTTGGCCCAAAAAAACAGGATTTTGAGTTCACCATCCACTGAGAACAACTGTGTGCAGCAAGACAAGTTACCATAGCACAGAGCAATGCTAATCCAACAGATAACCCATGCTGCCATCAGACCTCTAGATTGCTGCTCCTTGACAGGACATCCCAAGTGGATATAGTATACAAGCTTGACAACTGAAGCCTGCTCATAGAAAATGCCCTGCAGTGAAAGTTAGAGGAATAAGGAGTAATCACAACACAGGTCATTTTGATCCTTCAGAAAGGACTAAAATCAGAAGGCTTATTTATTTTGCAAAAGGAAGAGTTTTATTAGCTGTAATGGTTTACTCTAAGTAGAATTGAAATGGAACTTAGCCTAGGTTATAGAACTAAGCCTTACATTCTTAAAATAATGAAAAACACTGTAACATTCTAAAATCCATACAGCAATCTATCAAAGGTAGATTGAAAGCAAAAGACATGCATCATTCCTGAACAAGGAAAGAACAAAAGCAGGATTTAAAGTTTAGCCTGAGCTGTTTAAGCATGCTAAATTCTCTGTTATATTGTGAAAAACCTGTAAGGGGTTATTCATCTTAGCTCCTTTTCCAGATACTCTACATGTCAGAGCATGCAGAGCTGAAGTGCAGATAGGGATGCACACACAATGGCAGCACCTGGAATTCAGCAGGTCCTCTTCCCAAGTCTTTTTTTCATGGTGTATTCTTGAGCCCCAGTTCCCACAGCCAGCTTTGTCACCATTGTTTCCTCATCTGAGTAACAGGTTTTAACAATAATCCACTACTTGAAACATGGAGAGCAGGTAAAGAGTCTGTCTTCACAGTTTCACTGGTTTTCAGAGTTGCTTATATTCAGGTGGGGGCGCTTTGCTCCTACCTCTCCACCTAAGGCATGCAGGAGCTCCCAGAATTTACAACAGTGCATTATCAGAGATACCCAGTTAACATATTTTTAAACACCTACCCAAAGAGGTTACTTACAGCTTCTTTTTTTTTTTTTTTCTGCTAGCAATGGAAGCATTTAATATGTTTCCACAGTATTAAAATTCAACATTCTTTATAGTAGACTGATTTTTATTATTTTAATATAAATTGGACACCATACAAAAAAATGTAAGCACGGTCTTATCGTTGATAGCCATTAATGGCTGCATGATTTGCATGTAGATACACAGATAATCACAGAGTTTATCCTTCATTCATCATACAGACAGTGAAAACCAGAACAGACCATCAGATCATTTGGACAGGATGTTTCTGTGTCTGGAACAAAGTGCTAAGTTAAAAAAAAAAAACCAAAAACAAAAACAAAAAAACCTTGAAGATTGTCTTCTGCATTGCTTTAATTTATATAAAAATTTAAACTATCATGTAAGTTTAAAAAGAAAACCAGAACATGAAAGTTTAAGGGTGTGAGCATGTGAATGCTGAATAAAGCTTTCAAAAAGGAATTCAAGGCAGCATTTGGTTGCCTATGTTTTATGGCACTATTTTAAGGATTCTGATGGTGTTTCTTCAAATGAAGCTAAGTTCTGAGGAAAGCAGAAGGTGTCCTTTGGGGGACCTGCTCAATCTCACCATGTGAGGAAGCAGATGGAACTTGCAGCTTGTTCTTTCACTTTGTGGGAAGATATTTTTGGTAATAGAAAAGAATTCTGGTATCTGTGCTATTGCTCACTTGGTGTGTAATCTTTAGCACATCATAAATACCCTTCCAAGGCTACTTCCTATGAAGTGCTGGGTATCTTCATGCAATATTGAGACAACATAGCAACATTTCACAGATGAAACATAAATTTCCCTCTCAGTAAAGACATAAAATATTAAAAAAAAAAAAGGTGGGGGGGAAGAAAGATTATAGCTACTGCATGGAGTCTTATTCCATGCTATTCCAACTCCTTGGACATCAGCTGGAGTCAGGCCACTCAGAATCTCGTAAAAGGCATCCAGTGTATCTGGCAAAGGGGCTTTGTGAAGATTATTTAGGATGAGATCCATCTCAATTGACTTAATTAACAACCTTAAATTTCAGTGTCTGAAATAATCATCTGGGTTTTCCTAAGGACAGTGGGGTGACACAAGCATCTAAAAATGCCACTTTATTCCTTGCTAAGGTGAGAGCCTCAGAAGAGGTATAGAGACTCAAAAGCTGTTAAGCAGTACAGTTACCTCAGGTTGTCCCTATGACTCTGCATTCCTTTCAGGTGTCCCATTTTCACTCTGGGGCAGCTGAAATACTGGAGTACTGATTTTCAAAAGCAAGCAGTTCTCTTCACTGTCATATGAAGCAAGCTTTAACCTCCTGGAGAAGGATGGGAAGAAGTTTCCTTTATGATTCCACATGATCGGCACGCCACCCCACCCCAGTCTGGAGACCCCAGTAGTACCATTGAGAGTCTGAAGCATTACTCAATCCTTGCAAATTAACGTGAGCCTCTCAGAGAACTCATAGGAATATCAGCCACAGGAATAGCTTCCTTATGGAAAGTTATCTCCCAGTTTGAGTCCTTTAGCCAAGATGATAGATTTTCAAATACAGTTTGAACTCAGAAATTTTGCATCAACTTTATGCAAAAAAACAGTAAGGTGAAATTGTATGAGCTGTGAAATACAAATTCAGAAATTAATCAACTGTAATAGCCAAAACTGACCTGAAAATACATCAGGGGTGTTTTTCTTCATTTTGCTAGTACAGATTACAAACACATCCAGGAGATCCATTCAGTGTAAGTGTATTCACCAGAAAATACGATTTCTTTTTTGCAGTATGCCTCTGAGAAAAATTGTTTTATTTAAACAAGAAGAGAAGAGAGCATATTTGCAAGTGTTTTTCTTCCTCTTGCAAGCTTAAGCAGGTTTAGCCAGTGCAATTTACTATGGGAATAATAGGAAGCAATAGGAAAATATTTGTTACGTATTATTTGTGTTACTGACATATTTAAGTACCTGTCAGGGAGCACTCTGTAAACAGAACAAAACCATGTTCCCTGCCCCAAGTGTTAACCTGGTGTATAGAGCAAGAGACACAGACCCAGCTATGGGACAGTCATGGACAGCCAGGAGCTGCCAGAACAACTCTGGTCAGCATGACAAGCAGAACAGCACAATTGCTCTTAATTGCAGGATTACATTAAATGGTTATAGGGATCCTCAGTAAATGTTCAATAAATATTTTTTCTACGATTTATCTCAAAGTTTTTGCTAGTATTTTCAGTTACCTGTTTTTAAAAGCTATCTCCTTTTGGAAACTATCTCTTACTGATCGCAGCATTTCACTTGTCCAGTAGGCCGATTTGTGGTTGGTCTTCTTTCTTTGACTTTTTCAAGGAATTTTAATAGATTAGGAGAACATGACTTTACATAATGCAGGATATCTTTACCTATCCACTTTCCTAAACACTATACTAAGACAGGCATGTGTATCTGGAATGCAAATACCTTTTAATGCACTAAAAACTCCTGCAGTGTAGTGCCACTGTTTTTCTAACTCAGCATCGAATCATTAACTTCCCAAACTTCTGGAACTACTTGTGAGTCCAAGATTTCACTTGTATCAGCCATTCCGTATTTCCTTTTCTCCACGATCTTCATGCCCCTGCCTGCCACCACAGACCCAGACAGGGAGAGGAGAACAATCCTTCAGAAATCATTATTTTTAGCTTATTAATCCCCAGATTCCTAGGCTGATCTTCTCAACACTCATACTGGATTCATCTGTTCATTTCCCCAGCGGGTTTTGACAGCTGTAAGATTTCTGCTGACTTTACCAAGAAAAGGAAGCTAGTTGATCAGGAAAGCAGGAGAGAAGGAGCATAACTGATACACAGAGAGAAGGAAATCTTGTGTAAGCAGTTATCAGAAGGGTAAGGAAAGCTCAAATGAGTCACAAAGAGCTCAGCTTCACATTGCTGAAACTGGTTATTTGAATATACTGATATGTCTCCCAGTTAATTTGATGTTATTTGACTATCTCAATCACTTCATAAGGACCAGCGCCCAAATACAGCCCCCATAACAGCTCCCACCATTCACCTCTTCCTCAAATCTCTGTCCATGAAGTACCCAAGCAAGTCACCCATCTACAAAACAGCATTTGTACTACCCATAGTGTTCAGGCATGCCAGGGCAATTTTGGGTCAGCCATAGTGACCAAAACTGGTAAATAGTTTACATACAGATAGATATTTAGGTTGCTTTTCCTCACCATAATAAAGTTTAAATCTCAGACTTAAGCTGTCAATTTGTGGCCCCCTTTTTTAATGATTATTACTATTTAAGAGCTCTATAGATTTTGGCGTGTTTGTTTTGGGGAGTTTTGGTGGTCTGGTTATTTGTTGGTTTGCATTTCTTTGCTGTAGCTGTTTGGGTTTTGTCTGTTTGTGGGGTGTTTGATTGGGTGGGTGGGTTTTTTCCTTTACTTTTGGAGCTCGTTCCGTGTATTTTGTTGCTGGTGTTACACCCCCGTTCCGTGGACAGGCAGGCGAGCCCCCTCGCCGCACCCCGGCCCACGGCGGGCTTCGGGCGGGACCGCACAGGGCCGTCCCGCGCCCCCCGCCCTGGGAATCCCTTGGGATTTCCCAGTTCTGCCGGCCCGAGCGCACAGACCGGGGAAACTGCGGAGCACAGCACCGAGCAGCCAGGTTCCGGCGCGGTGCCCCCTGCCACGGAGTCGGGGCGAGCACAGGTACGGCGCTGCCAAGACGGGTAGGGGGGCGCGGGGCTCTCCGGCTTTCCCCGCAGCCGGCTCTTCCTCCACGGAGCTGCGATTCGAGCAAGCCTCGCACCGCACCCGGCGCGCTGAGGAGCTCTCCACATGGGGCGGGTCCGCCCGGCTGCAAGGTGAGCCTCCGGCAGCACCACCTGAACCGGGGGGCGAGGGGAGCGGGCCGCCGAGCGGACCCTCCCGGCGGGGCGTGGCCGGCGGCTCCCCCCCGGCCGGGCCGCGGTTGGTTTCTCCTGTCAGCGGAGGCAGGGCCAGGCGCGGCGAGGGTGGGCGGCGGAGTTGGGGGTAGTCAGTGGCGGTGGCTTGCTCCGGCGGAGCTTGCTTCGGACGTGGGGCAGGAGGTGAGGGGCAGGGCACAGTTCCGCGGCGGGTTTTGCGGGCGGGAGTTTGCATCGGTCGTGGCGCGGAGCTGGGGGAGAGTCCTGGGACAGGAGTGGCTGGCTGGGAGGAGTGGTGGGACGCGGTGAGTTAGACCTTTCCTTCCCCTCCGTGCTCCGCCAGCGGAGCCACCGGCCAGGTGGGAGAGCGGCGGCGCGCGTTGGAAGTGGGGGAAAACTTATTTCTTGGCGGGATCCCCCGCTCCGCCTCGGGGCCGGGACAGCTGGGGTGAGCCACTTGCCGGGGTCTGAAGCGCGGGGCTGGGGAAGGCGGGTGAGGGAGCAGAGCCACGCCGCCCCACCGCTGCCCTCTTCCTTTCTTCCCCTACTGCCAGGTCTCGCTGAGAGAAGCAGAGCGGAGGCGAGCCAGCCCCGGAGGGGAAGCGCCTGTTCCCGGACAAGGGGCTGCCTGGAGCAGGCAGCGCCCCAGCGGGAGCTGATTCCCGCCTCTCCCCGTCTCGCCGCCCGGAGCCGAGGGCGCCCGGAAGGCAAAGTTGTGTGCGGGGCCGGCGCGATGCCGGGGCGCGGCGCGCTCTGCCTGGGGCTGCTGCTGCACGTCCTGCTGGGCTGCGGCTCGGCGCAGCTGCCCGGCAGCTGCCCGGACCTCTGCAAGTGCTCGGAACCGGCCAAGACGGTGAAGTGCGTGAACAGGAACCTTACGGCGGTGCCGCCCGACCTGCCGCCCTACGTGCGCAACCTCTTCCTCACCGGCAACCGCCTAGCCCGCCTGCCGCCCGGCGCCTTCCCCGCCCAGCGCCTCCCCGACCTCAGCGCCCTCAACCTCAGCGGCAACCACCTGCGGGCCGTGGAGCCCGGCGCCCTTGCCCTGCCCGCCCTGCGGCAGCTGGATCTCAGCGGCAACCCCTTGCTGTCCCTCAGCCCGCACGCCTTTGGGGAGGGTGGGAGCCCGCTGGAGGAGCTGGCCCTCCGTGGGGCCCTGCGCGATCACGGCGTCCTTCTCAGCCTGGCCACCATGCTGCAGTCTGGGGCCCTGCGCAACCTCAGCCGCCTGGAGCTGGCGGACAACGGGTTGCTTCTGCTGCCCCCCGGCATGTTCACAGCCCTGCCCGCCCTGCAGCAGCTGGACCTCAGCAACAACTCCCTGGTGGGCCTGGGAAACGTCTCCTTCCAGGGGCTGGGCCAGCTGCAGAGCCTCAACCTCAGCGACAACAGCCTGGGCGTGCTGAGGAACGACACCTTGGTCCAGTTCCGTGGCCTGCCCAGCCTTCAGCGCATCAGCCTGGGCCACAATGCCTGGGTCTGCGACTGTGCCATTGAGGACCTGGTGGCCTGGCTCAAGGAGAGCGATCAGGTGGAGGGCAAAGAAGCCCTGACCTGTGCCTATCCCGACAAGATGCTGGGCAAAGCCCTGCTGAAGATCAACAGCTTGGACCTGAACTGCTCTGTGCCCATAGACCTGCCTTCCCAGCTACAGACTTCGTATGTCTTCCTAGGGATAGTCTTGGCTCTCATCGGGGCCATTTTCCTCCTGGTTTTGTATTTGAACCGAAAAGGAATCAAAAAGTGGATGCATAACATCAGGGATGCCTGTAGGGATCACATGGAGGGCTACCACTACAGATACGAGATCAATGCAGACCCCAGGTTAACAAACCTCAGCTCCAACTCGGATGTCTGACAAAGCGCCGAGGACACGGGGCAGTGCACAGTAGCTATGCATGAAAAGTAGACTTACGCTTTATCCTCATGCTTGCTTCCCTCTCCACAGAGAAATCTCAAGACGTGCTTGTAACTTGAGGGGGACATGCCTTCCTGTGCTGTGAAGTTCATTTTTGTTTTGCGACGCTGCGCAGCTGCGCGTGGCGTTGGGCTGTACGTAGGAAAGAAGCTGCTACTTCTTTTTCCCCCTTAGCTGTCTATATCTGTGGGAAATTCTTTTCCAAGATGTCAGAGAAAAAAAGGATTCTCTCTGGTGCTTCAAAGCCACCAGAGTTTTATTAAAACATTACTGATGCAGACACTATTCAACGAAAGCTGTCTCAACTTTTTTGGGAAAAAAAATAAGTTATGTTCCTCTGTGCCAGTTTTGATGTTGTATATCCAAATTGTGATGACAATGATTTCATTTCATAGGCTACATTGAGATTTAAAAAAAAACCCACAACAAAGGAACTCCTTTTAACAAGAACTCTGTTACAAAGAAGGAAATTGAAAAGTGAGCATGCACAAATACTTTATAGTTTTACATGTTAGGAAACTTACAATCTCAGTAAGTCTCTTACTATTTTGTAAAGTTATTTTTGATTGCAGTTTACATGAAAAGAGAGGGTTTTTTTTACACAGACTGCACCTAAACTCCATCTGAACTATTGAATTTAATAAACAGTCTTACAAGAACTGTTGTGTGGAAGTTTGCTGTTCAATAAGAAATGTATAGACATCTTAAGAATGTCGATAGCTTTATAGTCTCTGAATTAATAGCCCTGCAGTAGTAATCTGAATAAAGTTTTATATAAATGTGTAGCTTAGGGACATGTTTGACAATTTTATGAAATATACTAGGAGAATTAACACTGATCAATGAGGGCACAACCCTCCCCCCCCCCCGTTTACTCTCAAAGCAGCTGCAAAACATGGAGACAGATGCTAAGGTCCACCTTATTGAGAAGGTACAAGCTGATAGAATTTTCATAATATCTACCAAAGGAAAAGGAAAAAAAAAACCCAACCAAATTAAATTCCAAATTAAATTGTACAGTTTGTAAGCTAAAGAAAATTTTACCTGAATGGAATTGTTTATTATAAAACCCCATACTTACATGTCTTGAACTGAATTAAATGCAGCTCAGTCATGTAGTCAGTGAGATTTGGGCTTGTAAATCAATGCAGCACTTATCCAAGTGCTTACTGCTTCATTTTAAGCTCTCGGTCCTCTTGAAGTCCTGTAGTGATCTACATTGAGGATTTGGGTGGGACTTTATCTTAAATATTTTAACAGGTGCATTTCAGTATTGTACATTACTCATTACTTGCTTGGGAATGCATTTCCTTGTAAACAGATAAAGCATGCAAAGAAAAACTTAAAAATTTTGTCATTTAATATGCAACTCTGATGGCATATGAAAAGGTTAGCAAGAACCTTCCAATGGCCACCAGTAATAAATGCACTTTTTCTAATCCATTTATAGATTCTTCACAAAAAAGAAAATACACCAACTGTAAAAGTGTGATGTGAGTTGGTAATTATCAGTAAATCTGTGGAGCGTTTTCCATGGTCACTGTTTCTTGAAGCTCTTGAGCATCTCTGAAATTTTATGAATTACTGGTTAATTTCCTTTGCTTTCGAAAGTTATGTTTTTTTCATAGATACACGCCTTTGGTAAGAGCTCATAAATATAAAATAGTCCTTAAAGTATCAGAAGAAATGTAATCTATTTTGGGCATCCGTATTACTCAAATGCATTTTTCTCTCCTTGCAGCTTCAGACAAAGCAAGTAGCACAAGTTGGTTCAGGCTAATTTTCTATTGCTTTAAATTGGCTTTATTTAATAGCAGTGGGTTTGGTTTTGGGGTTTTTTTAAGTGGTTTTGTACATATGCCCTCAAAAGTAAGAAAAAAACAACAAAAGTACCATTACTGTTTTGATAAATCAGTGTATTCTACAGTTAATGTAAGTTAAGTGCTAGCCTATTTCTCTTGCTGTAATTTAAATGTATGAGCAATATCTGGTTAACGGCGTATGAATTAAGTTTGTGGATTCTTAAAAAGCAGGCTGCTGGTCTGAATGTTAGCTGCCCGTATTTTATGCATAGTGTAAACCCCCCGGTGTGAATAACTATTACTGTGGAACTATGCAAACTGTTCATACTTTGTATGCATATATGGCAGATAGTTTATGTAAGAAGCTAGAATTTACAATAGCTATGCAGTGTGCTTTCAGTCATTTCGGAGATTATCAATTTACACTTATTTGTACAGTGCCAAGAGGAGTAGAGCGTCATCCTTGCTTAAGATGCTCCTGTAATATAATAGATAAAATATGTACAAAGCAAGACATTTCTTGGGCAATTTCGTGGGTTTTGTTAACAGATACTTTAAAGTAACTACAGTAAAAGCAATTATTCATGATGTATTAATGTAACGGCCATGCATTTACAGAGCTGTGCAAGGGTAGACAATGACTTTTATTGAGGTTTCTCACCAATCGACTGAGTATTTGTATAGTGAGCAAGTGTAACTGTTGTATTTTACCTATTATTATAAAGATCGTTATTATTTTTGTATCATAGAAAGTCAATGTAATAGCATTTTATTAGAGACCTGGTGATGGCTACTTTAAAATATTTTTTTGCCATTTGCTTATATGTGTATTTATTAGGATGTAACAGTTAGCATGTGTCAGTATTGTGTTGGATAATGTTTTCCTACAGTGTTTAAGCAACAGTGAATGCTTTGGTGTTCTGTATAATGCATTATTTGATCTTAAATCCCCTTTCATAAACAGTGCTTGAAATTTGTTTTCCTTTCCTTTTACAATATAGTTAACAGTGGAACTTGGCAGGAATTTAGATAGTAGCTCCCACAGTGCTTCAGATCTTGGTTAAAAACTATACCTTTAGAATAGCATTAGTTTAAGGGATCTTCTGAAGCACCTTTTATAATCTTACTCTGCTTTGACACCTGAAATTCTAATAGATTATTATTTCCAGAGCAGCTTTATTAACAAGGCTGTTTTGTTCATTCATTCTTCAATAAAACACATGCAGTACTAAATGCCTCTAAAATGTGTTTTGTATACATAAACCCATGAAGTTCTGCATGACGCAGTTGTCACGGATGATTCTAAGAAAACATCTAGCCTAAAGTAGTGGGCAAATCTTCAGTGAAGGCTGCACAGCTAAGAAGCAGAAAGGGTGATTTGCCCAATTTTCAGCTGTTTTCTTAAAACTAGTTTTAGTTATAATAAGCTTAAAAGTTTCTTAGAAGAATAGCAGCACAAGAAATTGCCATAGTTTTAATATATTTTCCTAAAGTACTTTAGGTACAGCAAAGCTGTTGCCAGGTAGGAAATAGAAAATTCCCCAAATCTGTCTTTATCCAAGGTTGCTTTATATTAGATCATCCAACACTTTTTTATTTCAGCAAGCCATAATATTACCAATGATTTTGACATCCAGAAAGTGATACGAAGTTTTGCACAACTGCTTTGAATCTTTTCATTCAGGGTAATTTACCTTGTAAGCACTGGTGACAGTCCCCAGTGACATGCCAGGTAGTGAAACAGTCTGTTCAGACCCGTATTCAGTTGTTGACTGAGATGTCACTGAAGACAGGCGTGGCAAAATATTCGAAATATGACTGCACTACAATCCCAGCTCTCATTATTCTCCCAGCATTTTCCCTGTGGTGTGCTCTGCTCTTTATGCATCTGCATAATTTCTTTTTTTGCTTAATTTTCTTAAGAAACCTGTTAAAAGGGGTATCATGAACCTGCACAGGTGGAGCAATCGGTCTGACTGCACCTGTATTTTGAGGTTCAGCATCTTCATTTCCCCCTAAGCCTTAATGTGAAAATGAGTCTTTGTCAAAGTGGACAGAATGAAAATTTGATATGAACTTTTTTTTTTTCTCTTTAGCAGCTGAATGTTCAAGAAGAACCATTCATTCTCAGCATATGATGAAGGAAAATAGGATTTGGTAAGAAAAACATTTTGGTTTCAAGCTTCCAAATGACATATTCTATGAGAGAAAGTGAAAGGGAAAGTTTTATAAATGAAACAGAGATAACCGTAATGGGTCAGCACTGGAAATCACAACGCTATTGCTTGCTCAGTAGCAATTGCTGATTGATTCTGTCTGTTGCAATCTGGTCATTTTTCACAGATACAGCTCTAGTTTCTTCCTGTTGCTATAAATAGAAAGATTTTGCTAACAAGTGGTGTCACGTCCTGTAATATTTGTAATGCAGGTGTTTCCACTCTGAGGTTCTTGTGAGCTATAATAGAAGATCAAATTTAATTCAACATCTGCTGAATTAATAATGACTAGATCAGGCCCATAACTTAATGCTCTCTTTTTGCCAACATGCTGCTTACCAGTTGCAAAGACCCTGTCTGGAAATCAAACAAAGGCCCACCAAGGAAGAGAGAAAGCATTCTGTCTGGGGAGTGTAACATTTATTAGATATTTCAGATGTGCTTAGAAAAGAAACATAAACTATGTGGGAGCTGAGGGTCCTTTGCTGATACAGGAGTAAATACTCTGTTAGCTTCAAGAGTCAATACAGCAGAAGCAGAAAAGTGATGCTTTGTACCAGTACAATAAACCTAATAGCTCTTTTCTCCCAGCTTGAAAAAAACCCACCAAGCTTTTAGAAGTAAGAGTACAGGTTTGCAGTATAAGTATGTCCTTAAAAAGGGCTTTTGCTTTCTCAGCTGTGTTACAATTTACGTGTTGTCATATCCTTGGAAAACCTTGCTATGCCAGAAGTCATCTGTCGCGTAGGCAAAGCTTGAAATCAGGCCTTGCATTCCCAGTGTTAGCCTGAGGGAAGAAGGCAACTATTAAGAAAATTAAAATGGTACTTTAGATGGTGTATTATATTACAGTTAATAATTTAATACTTGCAATTATTTATATTTTTCAGTGTTCACTAGATAGTTTTTCCTTTCTGATGAAAAGAGTAACAGAATAACAAATTTGTGTTCTCTAGTAATTATGCATGAAAGCATCAGAATAAATTAGAAATGTTGTTCAAATACATAGAGACCTGAAAATGTTAGAGATCTTGTGTTTTAGAATGTTTCGTGATTATAGAAGTTCTAGATGTGCAAGAAACGGCTGTAACTTTTTCAGATTGAAGTTTTGTTTCTTAATTAAAAATTATTCTTGAAGAAAAACAATAAAATATTTATCAGATCGCATATAAATGTTATTTGTTCACCCTTGATTTTATTACTGTATATCCTTAGAGATACTGAGAGCTTTGCTAAAGGTGTAATTGTATTCTTTTTAGCTCAAATTGGTGATTATTCTGTGAATTAGCATGATAGAATGGTAAAAAGCATCTTCCCTCTAGATAGCCTGATTAATTTCTTTAGAAACAAATTTTGTCAGTGAATATAAGGGACTGGTTTTTAATATTTTTTGTTATTTTGGATGTGATTTGATAGCTTTTTCAGTTTTTAATATATGCGGTTTTGATTTTCAAGTTGGGTGCCAAATTCTATATTTAATAGTAATGGATTTTTAAGTTTTTAATGACTGGATCAAACTGTGTGTTTTGAAATCTTTAAATATGTATTTATTTAGTGAAATACAGAGGCACAGTTATTACTGATGGAACTATTAAGGAAAAGTACTGCTGAAACAGAGAATGAAGAGTGAAAGCAAGAGCAAAAGCATTCTGATGCTTTTATTCTCTTTTATTCCTACAACTCCTTTATTCCTACAGCTTTCTAAAAGCAATTATTTAGATTGTGACCACATAAAAATTCGAAGGGAATGATGTTTCATCTCACAGATGGGT